AATAAATTATAAAAAGTGGAGATAAAAATTTTGCTACTAAAAAGTGTCCCCAATTACCTGAATTTACCTTATTGGGGATTCATGAGTCCACATATACCTAACTCTTGAGCCAGTCTTTAAAATCACCTGATGCTCGATCTATTTCTTTCCATTCAAGCAGTTTCTTTTTTTTTTTAATTACTTGTAGGTAACATAATATGTATTTCATAGTTTACGATAAAAGTGGTTACTGCTCATGAAAAATCCATGAATTTAGTAAATCCACTTTCCCACGAACTTGGACTTATTTTTCACGTAGTTCTTTTGTCCTTATTACCTTAACCACGTCAACTAGCTCATCTGAAAAGCTATTAAGAGAATACACAAAAATAACTAAGTGAAAAAAATTGATCGCAATATATATCTTTATATACTCCAAGATATTAAATTGCCTAAAACCACCAGGAACATGTTTTAATAACTAAATAAAAAATGAATATACAAAAGATTTACCTAATTATCCACAGCTCCTTACCACAATCATCGAGATCTAAAAACTCCCCCCCCCACTTCATTCTTATTCATAAATGCTAAGTATTTCCACTTTATTTCACCCCACCCCCCCTCCATATAGACACCGATGGCATCAAACATCCAAGCATTATGACCGAACGCGATTTGGTCGCAAGTGCGGCTCTACAAATCGTCGACTTCACTCCGTTCCGCATAATACACTGTTAATCCAAGCGTGTTAAAGTACACGTTTAAAGTGTGTAGTTGAAATTATTGTTTTTTATAAAACACATTGTTGTGGCGTGGATAATAAATAATTTTAAGGACAACTAAATCTATAGTGTACCAAGTGGTTAACCAGTTCAGTTAAATTGGACAATTTTTAATGAGAAAAACCAATGTAGGAAAGCTGTGGAGTTGAAAAAACTTGGCTGTCAAAGAATTAACATGCATATCAAATGTGTAAAATATGTGACAGTAATGTTTTACTCTCTAGAGCCATCTTATATCAATCGTTAACGAAAAAAATATTTTAGTTTGATAGAGTAGGTGCAATAGTTTACGAACCATCGATTTGGTTTTTCTTACAATGTTTATCAATACTGCTATCAAGGGAGTTCACTCGCTAAGAGAGTTAACGTCAATATATTGATAATACTTTGAACAGAGATTAATTAGTGTATCAACAACCTTTGATTAAAATTTCAAGTCCCTTTATGGCTTATAAAGTGAGATATTGATAATTTTATCATTGAACTTTTAACGTGCAGTCCTACGAGAATCAGTACTGTTCTGATACATAACCTATAATATCTGGATAATCGACGTCAAGATTTGATTGAAAATTTTTTTTAAAATAGCTAAAAACTTGTTGATTACGTAACTATAGTCTCATCTTCACTCATGGCTCATGGAATGAGCAATAAATTAGTGAATAAAATAATTCTCCTTCGACAGCTACCGTTAGTACGCCGCATTAAATATGTACATGTTATATAGTCATGCAGGTTACAATACTGCTGATTTTATGCGTCAAAAAGGTTAGGTACGGGGGAACTCCCTTAAGCATTTTATAAAAAACGAAAATTTCGATTACACGTTTAAAACGTGTACTTTAAGACACTTGAATTTTACAGTGATAACCACGTGGATCATGTAAAGCCCACAACCGCCCGTATCCCTCTATCGTATACGAGAAAATAATGTTTTCACAAGGAATTCCCAGCACACGTTATGCAATCCCGAAAACTCAAGCTTGGACGGGGTGGTGGGAAGGATACAAGAGGTTTTCATGGTCCAGCTTACCTGTAGACAACGTAGCCCGCGTCGTTGGTGAGCTCGCAAATCCAGCGGCAGGGCTTGACGGGTATCACCGGGGCGCTCGTCGTTAGGTTGTACAGCTCGTCCTCGGTCAGCGTCACGTTCAGCCACAGCTCGTCGTCCTGCGATTCACAATTAAAAGCAAATTTACGTAAGTAGGGTCGATATACATACAGCACAACTAGGAAAAAAAGGTAAAGCAAGACACGGTGGACGATCAGGCGCTATTGGTATACTTTATAAATATAGGCTCGGGTCGATCACGGGCGACGTCCCGTGTGCTAATGGTCTGCACTGTCTCCTTTTGTTTATCTTTGTTTTTTTTTTTCGTCGGGTGATTCCAGAGATATGATTGACTCGACTCGCTCTTCGAGCAATGGTGTACCCGAGCAGTCTGAACTAGCTCGATGCGCGCATGTTATTGGCTCGGCTCTTTGGGGATTATTGTTTTCCAATTAACTGGGACAGTCTTTTTATACTCGATCGATGACGAGAGGGACGCAGAGTTTGTTTGGGTTCGAAAATCGTGAGTGGTTTTTTTCATCTATTCTTTTTAATGGAAAATCGATGGTCTCTAATGTGGGAGAATGGCACGTGTTTGTAACAATGTAACCAAAGAAAGTAATTGTAATTGAAATTGGTTTGTAATGGGAAAAGTTTCACTGTTGATCGGTAATTGGCTTAATGAAAATTTTTCTGTTTTACGTGGAAAGGAAATAGTTAATTCCACAAAATGTTTAAGACAGCAATACCTATACCGCATCAATGCAATCTATTAACGTCCTTTCTTTATACCTGTTTCAGTTAAAAAAGAATGTCTTGGGCGACTTGATCTAGAAAAATTAAGATAACCTTGGTTTTCTACATTGAATGTATAAAATTTGTTCGAACCAATACCTCGACCACAATTTCATAATGTCAAGTCACTTAACATTCGAAAAACCATCCAATCAAATGTACACGATACACATGAGTCGTTTGTGTGATTCTTATTTAGTTGAAACGCAATTTCCAAGCTCCACGTTAAAAGGCTCACAACGAGGACCATCGTTATTTTTTACGTTACGATAGACACGACTGATGTACCTTCGGTAGAAACACGGCCCGGATCCAAGTGGAGGACCCGATGCAAAATAGCCCTCAAATGCGAATAAATCTGCAAATTAACGACGGAGGAACGGCTGCGCGCCATTATTATACTTGGCAGCCGTAAAAATTTGTTTCAAACGATGTGCGCGCAAAAAGCTCTGCGACCGGAGCCACGCTGACGGCGAAGCCCGCCCAACCGATACGGGAATATCAGCGAGAAAAGGAGAAAACGACGGGATCTTAAGTATGGGAAATCTCTTACGCCACTTTCAAGGTATTAAACCCGCCATCTGGTTGCACCACTGCTTCTGTAATTGTTGTTGTTGGGGGTTTCGCGCGTCTTTGATGTACGAGCAACTCCGAGTGCTGAGCATCAAGTATTAAAAGCCTCCGTTGGGGCGAGCCGCTGTGCCAAAACGCCAGGCTCTGGAAAAGGCGCTTCCAAGTTGGTGAGAACGAGAGATGCTGCGAGCGTAGCGATAGCAGAATGCGTGAGAATGTGCATAAGTAAATCTGACGGCGCGCGGTGCCGATTTATCGTGAAAGCTCGTTCCCATTGGAAACTATCATTGCATTTCAAGTGCAGTCACTTGTGTGCTTTTGGTTTGTCCTTTCTTTTTCGTAGCACGTTAATTTCTTCCATCTCTCATCGATCCACGTTGTCATATCGCGTGGATAGAAAAAATTTGAGTCCAAAAAGTGTCATGGTACGTTTAATTCCGTATCGTCGAAAATACCATGGAATTTCATTTCTGAAATAAAAACTATGCTGTATGTAGCTGACAAAATCAGCTTCGCGCAGAGAAAGAAATATTTGAAGAAGATTATCGAATAAAGCAACAATTTGTTATTAACAAACAAAATGTGATCCTTAGTCATCGTAGTTGGTCACAAACTGAACGTCTTTTTTAAAACAAATCAACAATATCTTTTCAACGTGACAACGCTCGTCATTTACATTAGAACGCGTTTTTATTATTTTACTATACCTACAAGATAGAAAATTTTCACATATTTCACTTTGAAACATGTGCTCGATTGATGTGGAACACTACTTATCTCGGCTCTAAAGCACTGGAAATATCCACGCTGCCAATCTTCAATGGTCTACACTCAAAATGACAAAAAAAATGCAAAATGATATTTCCTTTCGATGGTCATTTAGGGTTTTCTGAGTTCGCGTTAACATGACATCCAATATGAGGTTTCCTCAATAATAATGAGGAATCGACTCTGTCCAGCGTTGCTCGACCGTTTGCGACACATTTTCAATCCTTGCTCCTGCAACCTCTGTCATAGCCAGTTCCCTACCTCATCACCCTTACATATTCTACATGTCCAATCATCCATTTTAGCTATTTTCCACGTACAATCGCTATGCTGCTCTTGACGGTATTCCATCGAGTTTTTTAATTGCCCATTCTTCTGCTCTTATCCCGCCTCACTCTTCACTATTTAATCAGTCTCTCGAGGATAGGAATTTTATATCTCCATCAGAGGAAGTAGTTGTATATTTTTTCCTTTTTTAAATCAGTGACAATTAACTTGTTATTCATTATAAAGATATAAATCACTGTTTAAAGTTACAGTTCTGTTACACTAGCACTATAACAGTTCTACTTGTAAACTACTTGACTTCATTGTAGACCAACGTGTGACTGACATAACACGACCTTTCATCTGCCCTCAAAAACATTACACCAGTTATACCTGGTACTTATCAGTTAATTCTCATTACGCCACGTTGACATGCCTTTTTTTAGATATGTGGGTCGTTCAATAAGTTCGTGGCTTCTCTAAAGATGCCGCAACCATCGTAAATATTTTACCACTCTGTGATAGTACCATATTACATTGGTGAATATTCAAAAATCCAAGTCAGTGCATTGTTTTGGTAATATATTTTTTTTTTGTTTAGTTTATTGGTGTTTAATAAAAACAAGTTTCACATGCTATTCAAACATTAGGTTTCACGAGGAAAATCAATCAAAATTCGATTCATCAACCAGTAAGGCCATGGCCTCAATGTTTTGGGACACACATGGTGTAATATTAATTGATTACTTGCAGAAGGGAAAAACCTATCACAGGAGAGAATTGTGCCTCGTTATATTAGAACTATTTGATGGCTCACTAGAGGTAAAGCGGCTTCATTCGGGGAAGGAAAAAGTGCTTTTTCACTATGACGATGCTCCAGATCACGCGAGTGCCATTGCAACGACCAAATTACTTGATTTATGTTATGCGATACTTTCTCATCCACTTTACGTTTTCGTCATAATAAATGTACAGAGGTGCAAAGAGACTATGTTGAAAAATAAATTGAAACAATATATTAAAAGCAAAGTGACGGACTTGTTGAGCGACCCTCGTTTGACTAAGATACTCGAGACATTTACTTCAATCGGTGGACTCGTACATTCAATCAAAGTTGAAGAGTAAGGATGGCCGGTGATGTGTCTAAAAGCGTTCATAGCGTTTTCTGATGGCTAACAGTGGTCGCATCTTAAGATGTTACTTTTTTCCGTTTGTGTGAATGATACTCTCACAAGTATCTTGCCTCGTCCTGTGTGCTGGCAATGAAAAAATTTTTTTTTTTTTTTATCGTACATTCAACGCCAGTGGTATCATTCCATTGAAACGTGAGTAAATAAAGGCAATAGACCATGTGTCAGCCTGTGTCTTTTTTATGCCTTCTAGAGGTGCGGTTGTGTTCAGATTCAAAACTTCCACTGTCATCGTTCATGACTGTACCTTTTACGGCATCTAAATCGAGTTTAATCTTACACAAGTTTAGGAATAACTCACGATTCTGATGTCGCACATTCAATGATCGTCTCATCATTACTATTTCTAAATTATTCGACTTGGTTTTGTTTAGTTATGTAATTCTGAGTCAATGATACTAATTTTTGAAACCGTGCTGCTGTTGACACTGGTATATTGCTCCATAATCTTTTTTCAGCTGTAGGAAATAAACTCTTGCACCTGTTACAAAACTCAATTATCTCTTATCAAGGTCTGGCCACGATGACGATGCCCTCTATCTTTTTTAACTAATTGCCATTGGAAACTTTCACTGGATTTACCCTACTCCGCTTGGTTCTCTGGTCTATCGTCTATGGCATCTATACAATTATGATTAATGGAACGTATGACGATCCAGAGCTGGCCCGAGGTGAACAGCCTTGCCATATAACTTGTAGCTTTGCTTTCGCTTTGATTGACCCGACGACCCCTGAGTACACACAAATCTACTCCCACATTGGTCATCCTACGTTTAAATTAAAATCTCTCTATGTGTACGAAAACATGCACTGTTTCTTTCCGAATCTTAGGGTATTTATTAGACATTAATAGGTTATAATACAGATAAAATAATCTCTAATTTACCTTTCAAATTTTGTATTTTTAAGTCTCTTTATTTTTAACACACTGCACATTTACAATACTAGGTATATTTGGGCTCAAAGCCTATGAAGTTTAATGAATAAATCAATAAACTAGTGATAATTTGAAAAATCACATTAATTGCAATTTCATTCCGTTCATGTCATTTTCAGCTATAAAGGCAATGCACATGACACCATATTTTTACCTCAAAGAAGTGTAAAATTAAAGGACACGAATTTCCTTTCACTCGAGTATTCTCCAAAGTTTTTTGGAAAGGAAATGCATGTGCCTATAATTATGGTCTACAATATGTGCCTTATACACTACGTAAAAATAAGCTTGCTCACCTCTCGATCTTTCCATCCGACCAGTGGTGGGAAGCAAATAATGAAGCTAAGCACCCAGACGACGGCGACCAGCATTTTCGCTCGCTTTGGTGACATTATCTGCAACCGGAGTGCACAAGACCATGACCAAGAACAAAGAAAATACGTTATGTCGTACATTCGACCTTTTGCCGAGAAAAGAGCTACTTTTTCTTTCTCTTAATTTGTTAATGTGGATTTAATGTGTACGAGAATGTGTGACATGATTGCGTCCAGATGGATTCAAGGAGATACGGAAGAGTCTGGGATGGGATGGTTTGCTCATTCACCTGTAGATAACACTTTTTCAACTTGTAAGAAAAACATCCAAATATACAATGACAATATCTCAGATTCTGAGTGTACATCTAGTGTGTGCTATAAATTTTAACCATATTTTAAAAATAATAAAATTTTTTTTTTTTTTTTTTAGCAAAAAAGTAGTTTTTTTTTACATTTTTAAGCTTGTATTTTTTAAAGCTGTACGTAATGTATTCGACCTATAATCATTATTTGCACATCAGTAAACTGCTACACAAATTTAAAAAACTAAGCTTTTATGTATGAAAGACAAGACTTACATTATTCATACAGTGAATTAGTAAAAAGCAATAGTTTTCGAAAATCATTTTCTTTTTTAAATATTAGATTCTATCTGCTGTACGCAAATTTTGAATATTCAGTGACTAGAACAAAAAAATGATTTTACTAATGAATTACATTTTTTTTAGATTTTTAGGACAAAAATCTCCACCAATTGTTATAATCACATGGTTTAGAGATGTCGTTTTTTGTGGTATAATAAAAAATTCTTACTGTAATTAGAATTTTTTCTCACACGTACTCTCTAAGCTTCTTAATGATAGAGCTAATAGAATTATATCCTTGATAAACATATCAAGTATACCAATAGGTAAGGATTGAGAAATTTGTCCCTTTTATTAGTTCATTCGATTCAAAGCGTCTATTCTAGATATGCAAAAGATTCTCGGATTTCTGTCCATCAGATTTTAGCCCACTCCTCTTACAACTTGGACCAAACTAATTACATTATAAAACTTTCTTGTAACCTCAATAATGAATTTTGCTTAACAATGAAGCTAGTGTCAATGTCGTATAATTTTCGTTCAAATTTCAACTTCTTTGTATTCACGAATGAATTCCCAAGAACTGCCATCGGTATTATTCATTTCTTTTCCGAACAATCGCTGTTATCAGCGAACTTCAAAACTAATCGACTATAGTGGCAACGGAACTTTCACTCCGAATCATGGCTTAACTTTGTTTCAAACTATTTCGGCCAGAGAGTTGGAGAAATCTCTGTTAGTTCGAGACCTCTTGAAATTAATCCTATGCCGAATCCACAAGAGCTTATGAATTTCCGCGGTGGCAGTCGTAACTCTTGATGCCCAATTTTTGCATCTGAAGCCACTAATAAAGGAATTATGCAAAGCATTAAACGAATAAAAAATATCTGGAGGAGAAGTTTGTTTGAGATAAGATTTATTTTGCCAGTTGCAGTTTTAAAAATTTTTATTCCAATGTTGATATATTTATAATATATATTTATTACTAGAAATTTCACGAGTTTTTCATGTTATAACTTTATCTATAAGAGTTGTTTGGCTAATGAATTAGCCATTTGTTTCTATTTGACGTTCCTTTAGTTTTTTTTTTTATAAAGTAGAATTTATTTGGTGCATAATATGTGTACCGTAAAAAGCGATATGAAAAAATTATTAAAAACAACCGTAAAAATTTAAGGTAAACAAATCACATTTAATATTTTTTATGAAAAAAGTCTTCAAATAATCATCAATGGCATTATCCATGTAGATTGGAAAAAAGTGTGCAACGAGTAATAGATTTGTTTATTGGTGGAAATTGTTTAAATTGTTAGAAATGAGACTTTTCATGATTTGCCTTGGACTTGATTTTGTACAGCCATCACGTAAAAATTACCGTCACACGAAGAGGACTCATGACCAATGCAAAAGACATGGATCGTACATTATAGAAGGAACAAAAGTAGAACCTTTTTCTATGTCTGGCTTCCGCGGAAAGGAAAAAAAAAAAAAAAAAAAAAAATTGGAAGCTAGCTTGTGTCCGCACAGTTCTTTGTTGAATTCATAAAATAATTACAGTATTCAGTTTTCTTTTGTGCACTGGAATGTTAACAAATCTGTTTGACATACTTTGGTAAAATATTTTAAACAAAATTTTAGTTTTTCACGTATACGAAGGTAAAAAGTTATCAAATCAAAACAAGTTCAACGTGTTGGTGATAAAAAAAATAATCATAATTTTTGCGGTCGTTACTATTCTAGTGTAATGTAAAATGAGCATGAATCCATACATTGCAACATTTTAATCAGTTTGAAAAAAAAATTTTGTATAGTAGTACAGGCTTCATAACTTTCGTGAGTCAAACTAAATCGTTAACTTGAAAAACTACTTGCCAAGAGACTATTTTGTTCAAAAGCTATTTCCTGGTGTATTTCTAGACCTTAGCGAACACAGGACTTCTTTTGCAAACTCCAGAAGTTTCATAAACAATTTGTTATGTACACTCATTTCAAATCTTCTTCAATTTATCTCTGATCAGCTTTTCGAAAACGTACATGATCGTATCAAACTGAGCTGCTTTCAAGAGTTTGCATTAATTTTTAATGTTATCAACACGATGAGTGTCATCTATTATATTTTAAGGATAATTTTTGATTAACTTACTTATCAGACCAGCTTTGCTAAGGATTGTATTTAAGGGATTTCATGTAGTCTACAGCACTGACTCACATCATTTGGATTTTTTTGTATCTTACACCGTGAATCACATATGTGTTAATTTATTAGCAAAGCGGTTACATTCCCTTTTTTTCTCACATCATTGCATAATTTGAGACACTCAACCTCTACGAAGTGGCTTATAAGATTTTCCCTCTCAAATTTTAGGTAATTGCACTTTCGTGGTTCAAGAAATCGAATAGAAACAATATTATACCTGAGATTTATAAAAAAACAAGTCAAACGAAAGACGTCAATAGTAAAAATTAGAATCTTAACGAGGGTAGAATGTAACTATTGACAAAAGCTATAAAACCATATTGATACGTTTGCGTTCAAAGAAAATCAGAGTTTTTAAGAGTGGATCGTTTTTCTACAAACTAGTTCGTTGGTTTAGCTCCTACATTTCAGAACAAAAATAAGTAAAATTTTGTTTATTGCACAGTATACTCGTATAGTATACACTTACTAAGCCTTCCATAGTTTAAAAGCTCAGCTTGAGGCTCATGTATCTCTCTCTCGCCCAATCTGACTGGAAAAGGTAAGTAAAAAATAGATAATCTATAATGTAAATTCAGGTAATTCGGGACACTTCAAATTCTTAAGCTAATTCGGGACACAGACTAAAAACTGTATTTATAAATGATGAACAAGACTTGAAAAAAAAAAAAAAAAAAATATCCCAATATTCTTCAAGCCTTTATTTATCGAAAGCGACGAAAAAGTAAAATAATTAACAGCAAAGAGTAATGCAAAAAAAAAATGTTGTAAGGTGTTCTGATGGCAGCCGTAAACAACCAAGTTTTCTTCCATGCCGGGGAGATGACCGTGTATACTCATATATGATTAAAAAAAGATTTATAAGATGGAAAGTAGGCGGAAAATGTTCCAACGATTAGTGTAGTGTTTCCTGAAATAATTTATTCATAAATAGTGTCATGAAAACAACTTTGATAATTTAAAATTGCGCGTCNATTCTAATAAATTATAAAAAGTGGAGATAAAAATTTTGCTACTAAAAAGTGTCCCCAATTACCTGAATTTACCTTATTGGGGATTCATGAGTCCACATATACCTAACTCTTGAGCCAGTCTTTAAAATCACCTGATGCTCGATCTATTTCTTTCCATTCAAGCAGTTTCTTTTTTTTTTTAATTACTTGTAGGTAACATAATATGTATTTCATAGTTTACGATAAAAGTGGTTACTGCTCATGAAAAATCCATGAATTTAGTAAATCCACTTTCCCACGAACTTGGACTTATTTTTCACGTAGTTCTTTTGTCCTTATTACCTTAACCACGTCAACTAGCTCATCTGAAAAGCTATTAAGAGAATACACAAAAATAACTAAGTGAAAAAAATTGATCGCAATATATATCTTTATATACTCCAAGATATTAAATTGCCTAAAACCACCAGGAACATGTTTTAATAACTAAATAAAAAATGAATATACAAAAGATTTACCTAATTATCCACAGCTCCTTACCACAATCATCGAGATCTAAAAACTCCCCCCCCCACTTCATTCTTATTCATAAATGCTAAGTATTTCCACTTTATTTCACCCCACCCCCCCTCCATATAGACACCGATGGCATCAAACATCCAAGCATTATGACCGAACGCGATTTGGTCGCAAGTGCGGCTCTACAAATCGTCGACTTCACTCCGTTCCGCATAATACACTGTTAATCCAAGCGTGTTAAAGTACACGTTTAAAGTGTGTAGTTGAAATTATTGTTTTTTATAAAACACATTGTTGTGGCGTGGATAATAAATAATTTTAAGGACAACTAAATCTATAGTGTACCAAGTGGTTAACCAGTTCAGTTAAATTGGACAATTTTTAATGAGAAAAACCAATGTAGGAAAGCTGTGGAGTTGAAAAAACTTGGCTGTCAAAGAATTAACATGCATATCAAATGTGTAAAATATGTGACAGTAATGTTTTACTCTCTAGAGCCATCTTATATCAATCGTTAACGAAAAAAATATTTTAGTTTGATAGAGTAGGTGCAATAGTTTACGAACCATCGATTTGGTTTTTCTTACAATGTTTATCAATACTGCTATCAAGGGAGTTCACTCGCTAAGAGAGTTAACGTCAATATATTGATAATACTTTGAACAGAGATTAATTAGTGTATCAACAACCTTTGATTAAAATTTCAAGTCCCTTTATGGCTTATAAAGTGAGATATTGATAATTTTATCATTGAACTTTTAACGTGCAGTCCTACGAGAATCAGTACTGTTCTGATACATAACCTATAATATCTGGATAATCGACGTCAAGATTTGATTGAAAATTTTTTTTAAAATAGCTAAAAACTTGTTGATTACGTAACTATAGTCTCATCTTCACTCATGGCTCATGGAATGAGCAATAAATTAGTGAATAAAATAATTCTCCTTCGACAGCTACCGTTAGTACGCCGCATTAAATATGTACATGTTATATAGTCATGCAGGTTACAATACTGCTGATTTTATGCGTCAAAAAGGTTAGGTACGGGGGAACTCCCTTAAGCATTTTATAAAAAACGAAAATTTCGATTACACGTTTAAAACGTGTACTTTAAGACACTTGAATTTTACAGTGATAACCACGTGGATCATGTAAAGCCCACAACCGCCCGTATCCCTCTATCGTATACGAGAAAATAATGTTTTCACAAGGAATTCCCAGCACACGTTATGCAATCCCGAAAACTCAAGCTTGGACGGGGTGGTGGGAAGGATACAAGAGGTTTTCATGGTCCAGCTTACCTGTAGACAACGTAGCCCGCGTCGTTGGTGAGCTCGCAAATCCAGCGGCAGGGCTTGACGGGTATCACCGGGGCGCTCGTCGTTAGGTTGTACAGCTCGTCCTCGGTCAGCGTCACGTTCAGCCACAGCTCGTCGTCCTGCGATTCACAATTAAAAGCAAATTTACGTAAGTAGGGTCGATATACATACAGCACAACTAGGAAAAAAAGGTAAAGCAAGACACGGTGGACGATCAGGCGCTATTGGTATACTTTATAAATATAGGCTCGGGTCGATCACGGGCGACGTCCCGTGTGCTAATGGTCTGCACTGTCTCCTTTTGTTTATCTTTGTTTTTTTTTTTCGTCGGGTGATTCCAGAGATATGATTGACTCGACTCGCTCTTCGAGCAATGGTGTACCCGAGCAGTCTGAACTAGCTCGATGCGCGCATGTTATTGGCTCGGCTCTTTGGGGATTATTGTTTTCCAATTAACTGGGACAGTCTTTTTATACTCGATCGATGACGAGAGGGACGCAGAGTTTGTTTGGGTTCGAAAATCGTGAGTGGTTTTTTTCATCTATTCTTTTTAATGGAAAATCGATGGTCTCTAATGTGGGAGAATGGCACGTGTTTGTAACAATGTAACCAAAGAAAGTAATTGTAATTGAAATTGGTTTGTAATGGGAAAAGTTTCACTGTTGATCGGTAATTGGCTTAATGAAAATTTTTCTGTTTTACGTGGAAAGGAAATAGTTAATTCCACAAAATGTTTAAGACAGCAATACCTATACCGCATCAATGCAATCTATTAACGTCCTTTCTTTATACCTGTTTCAGTTAAAAAAGAATGTCTTGGGCGACTTGATCTAGAAAAATTAAGATAACCTTGGTTTTCTACATTGAATGTATAAAATTTGTTCGAACCAATACCTCGACCACAATTTCATAATGTCAAGTCACTTAACATTCGAAAAACCATCCAATCAAATGTACACGATACACATGAGTCGTTTGTGTGATTCTTATTTAGTTGAAACGCAATTTCCAAGCTCCACGTTAAAAGGCTCACAACGAGGACCATCGTTATTTTTTACGTTACGATAGACACGACTGATGTACCTTCGGTAGAAACACGGCCCGGATCCAAGTGGAGGACCCGATGCAAAATAGCCCTCAAATGCGAATAAATCTGCAAATTAACGACGGAGGAACGGCTGCGCGCCATTATTATACTTGGCAGCCGTAAAAATTTGTTTCAAACGATGTGCGCGCAAAAAGCTCTGCGACCGGAGCCACGCTGACGGCGAAGCCCGCCCAACCGATACGGGAATATCAGCGAGAAAAGGAGAAAACGACGGGATCTTAAGTATGGGAAATCTCTTACGCCACTTTCAAGGTATTAAACCCGCCATCTGGTTGCACCACTGCTTCTGTAATTGTTGTTGTTGGGGGTTTCGCGCGTCTTTGATGTACGAGCAACTCCGAGTGCTGAGCATCAAGTATTAAAAGCCTCCGTTGGGGCGAGCCGCTGTGCCAAAACGCCAGGCTCTGGAAAAGGCGCTTCCAAGTTGGTGAGAACGAGAGATGCTGCGAGCGTAGCGATAGCAGAATGCGTGAGAATGTGCATAAGTAAATCTGACGGCGCGCGGTGCCGATTTATCGTGAAAGCTCGTTCCCATTGGAAACTATCATTGCATTTCAAGTGCAGTCACTTGTGTGCTTTTGGTTTGTCCTTTCTTTTTCGTAGCACGTTAATTTCTTCCATCTCTCATCGATCCACGTTGTCATATCGCGTGGATAGAAAAAATTTGAGTCCAAAAAGTGTCATGGTACGTTTAATTCCGTATCGTCGAAAATACCATGGAATTTCATTTCTGAAATAAAAACTATGCTGTATGTAGCTGACAAAATCAGCTTCGCGCAGAGAAAGAAATATTTGAAGAAGATTATCGAATAAAGCAACAATTTGTTATTAACAAACAAAATGTGATCCTTAGTCATCGTAGTTGGTCACAAACTGAACGTCTTTTTTAAAACAAATCAACAATATCTTTTCAACGTGACAACGCTCGTCATTTACATTAGAACGCGTTTTTATTATTTTACTATACCTACAAGATAGAAAATTTTCACATATTTCACTTTGAAACATGTGCTCGATTGATGTGGAACACTACTTATCTCGGCTCTAAAGCACTGGAAATATCCACGCTGCCAATCTTCAATGGTCTACACTCAAAATGACAAAAAAAATGCAAAATGATATTTCCTTTCGATGGTCATTTAGGGTTTTCTGAGTTCGCGTTAACATGACATCCAATATGAGGTTTCCTCAATAATAATGAGGAATCGACTCTGTCCAGCGTTGCTCGACCGTTTGCGACACATTTTCAATCCTTGCTCCTGCAACCTCTGTCATAGCCAGTTCCCTACCTCATCACCCTTACATATTCTACATGTCCAATCATCCATTTTAGCTATTTTCCACGTACAATCGCTATGCTGCTCTTGACGGTATTCCATCGAGTTTTTTAATTGCCCATTCTTCTGCTCTTATCCCGCCTCACTCTTCACTATTTAATCAGTCTCTCGAGGATAGGAATTTTATATCTCCATCAGAGGAAGTAGTTGTATATTTTTTCCTTTTTTAAATCAGTGACAATTAACTTGTTATTCATTATAAAGATATAAATCACTGTTTAAAGTTACAGTTCTGTTACACTAGCACTATAACAGTTCTACTTGTAAACTACTTGACTTCATTGTAGACCAACGTGTGACTGACATAACACGACCTTTCATCTGCCCTCAAAAACATTACACCAGTTATACCTGGTACTTATCAGTTAATTCTCATTACGCCACGTTGACATGCCTTTTTTTAGATATGTGGGTCGTTCAATAAGTTCGTGGCTTCTCTAAAGATGCCGCAACCATCGTAAATATTTTACCACTCTGTGATAGTACCATATTACATTGGTGAATATTCAAAAATCCAAGTCAGTGCATTGTTTTGGTAATATATTTTTTTTTTGTTTAGTTTATTGGTGTTTAATAAAAACAAGTTTCACATGCTATTCAAACATTAGGTTTCACGAGGAAAATCAATCAAAATTCGATTCATCAACCAGTAAGGCCATGGCCTCAATGTTTTGGGACACACATGGTGTAATATTAATTGATTACTTGCAGAAGGGAAAAACCTATCACAGGAGAGAATTGTGCCTCGTTATATTAGAACTATTTGATGGCTCACTAGAGGTAAAGCGGCTTCATTCGGGGAAGGAAAAAGTGCTTTTTCACTATGACGATGCTCCAGATCACGCGAGTGCCATTGCAACGACCAAATTACTTGATTTATGTTATGCGATACTTTCTCATCCACTTTACGTTTTCGTCATAATAAATGTACAGAGGTGCAAAGAGACTATGTTGAAAAATAAATTGAAACAATATATTAAAAGCAAAGTGACGGACTTGTTGAGCGACCCTCGTTTGACTAAGATACTCGAGACATTTACTTCAATCGGTGGACTCGTACATTCAATCAAAGTTGAAGAGTAAGGATGGCCGGTGATGTGTCTAAAAGCGTTCATAGCGTTTTCTGATGGCTAACAGTGGTCGCATCTTAAGATGTTACTTTTTTCCGTTTGTGTGAATGATACTCTCACAAGTATCTTGCCTCGTCCTGTGTGCTGGCAATGAAAAAATTTTTTTTTTTTTTTATCGTACATTCAACGCCAGTGGTATCATTCCATTGAAACGTGAGTAAATAAAGGCAATAGACCATGTGTCAGCCTGTGTCTTTTTTATGCCTTCTAGAGGTGCGGTTGTGTTCAGATTCAAAACTTCCACTGTCATCGTTCATGACTGTACCTTTTACGGCATCTAAATCGAGTTTAATCTTACACAAGTTTAGGAATAACTCACGATTCTGATGTCGCACATTCAATGATCGTCTCATCATTACTATTTCTAAATTATTCGACTTGGTTTTGTTTAGTTATGTAATTCTGAGTCAATGATACTAATTTTTGAAACCGTGCTGCTGTTGACACTGGTATATTGCTCCATAATCTTTTTTCAGCTGTAGGAAATAAACTCTTGCACCTGTTACAAAACTCAATTATCTCTTATCAAGGTCTGGCCACGATGACGATGCCCTCTATCTTTTTTAACTAATTGCCATTGGAAACTTTCACTGGATTTACCCTACTCCGCTTGGTTCTCTGGTCTATCGTCTATGGCATCTATACAATTATGATTAATGGAACGTATGACGATCCAGAGCTGGCCCGAGGTGAACAGCCTTGCCATATAACTTGTAGCTTTGCTTTCGCTTTGATTGACCCGACGACCCCTGAGTACACACAAATCTACTCCCACATTGGTCATCCTACGTTTAAATTAAAATCTCTCTATGTGTACGAAAACATGCACTGTTTCTTTCCGAATCTTAGGGTATTTATTAGACATTAATAGGTTATAATACAGATAAAATAATCTCTAATTTACCTTTCAAATTTTGTATTTTTAAGTCTCTTTATTTTTAACACACTGCACATTTACAATACTAGGTATATTTGGGCTCAAAGCCTATGAAGTTTAATGAATAAATCAATAAACTAGTGATAATTTGAAAAATCACATTAATTGCAATTTCATTCCGTTCATGTCATTTTCAGCTATAAAGGCAATGCACATGACACCATATTTTTACCTCAAAGAAGTGTAAAATTAAAGGACACGAATTTCCTTTCACTCGAGTATTCTCCAAAGTTTTTTGGAAAGGAAATGCATGTGCCTATAATTATGGTCTACAATATGTGCCTTATACACTACGTAAAAATAAGCTTGCTCACCTCTCGATCTTTCCATCCGACCAGTGGTGGGAAGCAAATAATGAAGCTAAGCACCCAGACGACGGCGACCAGCATTTTCGCTCGCTTTGGTGACATTATCTGCAACCGGAGTGCACAAGACCATGACCAAGAACAAAGAAAATACGTTATGTCGTACATTCGACCTTTTGCCGAGAAAAGAGCTACTTTTTCTTTCTCTTAATTTGTTAATGTGGATTTAATGTGTACGAGAATGTGTGACATGATTGCGTCCAGATGGATTCAAGGAGATACGGAAGAGTCTGGGATGGGATGGTTTGCTCATTCACCTGTAGATAACACTTTTTCAACTTGTAAGAAAAACATCCAAATATACAATGACAATATCTCAGATTCTGAGTGTACATCTAGTGTGTGCTATAAATTTTAACCATATTTTAAAAATAATAAAATTTTTTTTTTTTTTTTTTTAAACAGCAAAACATAATAGATTCAGTATACGAGGTCCAAATATTTGTCATCGTGAGATATATTTTTTTATTTATTTACAAGTTGGAGTAGATAATATGTTTACAAGAAAAAAGAAAATATCTGAATATTTTCCGAAAAACTGCAAACCAGAAAAAAGTACTTTGATTTATTTTCACCCAAGAATGCTTCTATCACAAGGTTAATAAGTTTCTTTAGTTTAGTTTATTATAGTAGTAAAAAAATTTTTATCCATAAACTTGCCACATCACACGTAGCACTTTCTAATTTTATAAAAACGCTAAAACCGTACAACAATGTAGAGAGAACAAAAATCAAAATTTCAAAAAGAAGAATAAAAAAAATTTGCATCGGTGCGTCTTTTCCCGTCCTTTTTTTTCATTCTCCAAGAAAACGCGCGTTAAAACACGTGCTGTTTGTTTCGCAAGACAATGTGCGCGTAAAACGTGCCGATTGTTTTGTTCGGAAGACCATCAAAAGAATTTCCGTGCCATTGTCGCGCGTAAACATTATTCCCAGCGGTCGATCCGCGCAAAAAAGCACAATGTACGAAATTCGCAAAAGAAAAACAGCACACGTGCATTTTTTGTCCTCCTCTCCGCGAATAGTCCACGCGTAAAGTAAAATCGCGACGCTGCGCGTATTGCGTCATAGCTTTCGCTCGTCCCGATGATTAATACACGCGTACCAAGGAGTAAACACTGAAACTATACCTAAGCCTCCCGTGGATCTGCAGCCGTACACAATGGCCTGTCGGTGTACAAAATATTAAATGCAACTTTTGACGTTTCATGAATAGAAATGAAGACCAATTTATGACGCCGCTAACGCATTCTGTACGGTACGTGTGCAAAACACACACGCGAATTGTTGTCATCGTTCGATCGATATGTGCACGCATACATTTTTCGTGGCGTCGAGCAAAAATACAAAAAAAAAAGCAATCTATTGTTTGCGCGAGTACAATGTCGACTGCTTTTAAATAAATCTTTTGTTTTACGAGACGGTTAAATAATTGCACCAAGTATTTGGTTGCGAGAGGTTGAAACGGTGGTTTGGCAAAGTGACAAATAAGCTGCATGTGGACAGAATTTTTATTAAAAAATAAAAATCGTTTTGAACTGGAAAAATCAACAAAAACTTGAGCAAAGTTTATAGAACGAAAAATACTGATTCTTATTTGTTTTTTTTTTTCCTTTTTAATTTCTTCGAATGAACTTACTTGTTATGTTACACTCATTGAATGATCATTTTAATCTATGGATTCAAAGGGCTTAAAATTACTTGAGCTGAAATTTTATTTTTTCATCATTTTAAAGTATACTTGGATTTGCGTTTTTAAGTAAAGTAGGTCAGCTGTTAAATATAAATAACTCTAATTAAAAATACGTATTTGCGATACTTGATGCGTCGAGCTTTTAAAGTTTTTAGTATTAACAATAACATCACGTACAGTCATGGTACCTTGAGTTTGACACCGCAAAATTAAAATATTAATACTGTTTAATACGTAAAAAATACCTCGACAACTAATAAATCGTTGCAACTTTACTTTGAATTTTTTCGGTAACTGTACTTAATGTACTCCATTTCATTCACTTATTAGACCAATCGTTACTTTTAATGTCAATTTATTGTTCTTCGTTTTTTTACATAAACCAAAAGTTCCAATTGTATAAGAACAAAGAGATAATATCACACCTTTTCCGTTTAATTAAATTAATTTTCCCCTACGTATTTATTATTTATGAAATGAATAAAAGTATCCTCTAATGTAAAAGACAATCTCGACTCTTTAACTGATTAAAGTTAAAAAAGTACTTTCTTCAGCCATGCCTTTTTTATCAAAAGATACTTTTCATATTTTTGAGGAATGAAATAAAATACTTTTCGATGTCTTTTACACATCAAATGCAGGGGAGTTGCCGTTGCTTTTTAAAAACTATTTAACGTATAAAAGAATGAACATTAATTTTTTACAAAATTTTATTTTATTTTGAATGACAGTGTAATGTCGTAAATTTCTTTTTTTCATTTAACTCTTAGGGTCTTTCATTCCTCGATAAGTTGATGGCTGGTCTTACCTTACTTGTCTGTCTCTACTTCAGTAATATTGCTGGCCATAATCTCTTAGATTGAAAGTCAAATAATCTTCAGACTACTATAATTAATTCTGAATCAAAACTATAACCAAGCAGTCAACAATTCTGACTCATAAATTTAAAAAAACAAACAAACAATTTTTCATAATTTATTAAATAATGTCTTTGGTTGTAATAAAATAGTTATCGCTAAATAGTAGAATCGCCGGCGTGCCGAACAAAACAAGTGCATTTTGAAATACGTACGTATACATATATATTGTATATTCGCTCGAGCGCACGTGTCCTGTACTCGTGACGCTTTGGCCAGCACGAAAATTAGGTCGTTGCGGTAAATATACCTTCCGCTTCGTCTTATTTATCTGTGAATTTCATCTCTTCAAGTTTCCCATTTTTTTTCATCTGAATTTTCTCATGTGCTCTTTATCTCTCTCTCTCTCTATTAACCAGACTTTTTTTCGATGTACCATTTTTTTTTTTTTTTTTTTTGAAATTCCTAACTATTGGTCAGGTGCACAAATAAAATACTCTGAAATTTACTAGTAACAACGTACATAGTCTATACTTTACTTAATTCAAATATTATGACCTAGCACGTAATTGTACATGATCTATACATGTATCGTCACTTTAATCTAAAAACGACTTTTCTAAAATTAAAATTTGAAGCTTACATGATTTCAACCTAGTTCGTGGTTAAGAAATATTGTTTGTTTGAACAGAAAATATTTCACTTTCAGTGCTAAAAAGCCGAATCAGCACAAAAGCTCTAGTAAAAGGCACAATCATTAACAAGCTTTTTAGTGCATATTTCAACAGTAAAGTAGCCTGAAGTTTTCTTACAGAGAGAGAGAGAGAGAGAGAGAGAAAGAGAGAGAGTGTTTAATATTAATGAAAATATTAATGAATAACCCCCTGATAGTATAGTGGTTTAAATTGCAGATCTTGTAGCTTGAGGGGCTTGTTAATACAGGAAGACTTAATGCGAGTCTCTGTCTTTACCTACTCAACTCGCACCTCCGAGATATAATCTCATGTACGTACTCCAACAGTCACTATAAATAATTTGAAAGCAACGTTTGAATAAGATATATTCGCATTGCTGTGTAAATGATTGATTCACAATAAATCGTAGGTTATTTTTTTTGCAGGCGAAAAGTGATATTTAAAAGTATGCATTAGCAATACAGCAATGCAGTACGATGTACATTAGTACCTTGTAAGCGCTATGAAAAAAAATTTTATGAACTGGCATGCATAATGTTTAATCAGTGTTTTTTTTAATCAAATTTATGTTTAAAACACCTTAATAAACATAGTAAAATGTTTGTGATTCAAAAAAAAAAAAGTTTTAAGTAAACAATTTGCCATTAAATCTTCCAATTTGACTGACAGTTCTGAAAGAAAAAAAAAAAAAAAATGAGTCTACCACACGCAACTGAAGATTTACGATGCACGTTAATGAACTCGAGATATTAAGTAACTTTCTATACAGTTTCAATAAAATGAATCTTAGAATCGTCCAATTACAAGTTAATAACATTCTAAAAGCGAATGAAAAATGGTAGATCATAACGAGGTTTGAGTAAAAAAAACTGTCTCAGTAAGTGCTACATGTAAAATAACCAAAACGACTGAGACAATAAGCAAATTAAATTTAAGATCCGCAATCCATCCCCATCGCAAGTGGCACACTTATTTTCACACCTTACAATCGACTGCGAAGCAATAACGACTCTCGGTAGGATTTGGAGCAAACGTTAAGGTTTTGACGAATCCCAAGCACATATGGGCAAATAAAACCATCCCCCCACGAAAGCTCGTCCCAGCACATCGAGGTCAATGACTACATTACACATAAGCAATATTTTTAACGCTAAATTAGGCACTGCATACATGTTTACACCTGCAGATACGTATGTGGGGCTCGTAAATTTTCCGGCCAAGCGTATAAGCGTGTGGAGGCGTAGTGTATGCCAACCCTCTTCGGTAAACTGTGTGCTTTGCCACGTACACTGGTCGTACAAACTCCGAGGCTCGAGTTTATCGCTACTAGAAGACAAATCGAATCGAAAGCCATTGGTGGACTGTTCAACGTTTCTTGTTTTTTTTTTTTTTTTTTTTTTTTTTTTTTTTTTTTTTTTTTTTTTTTTTCTACAGACTCTTGTATAATATGCTTGCCATCTGATTTTTATGGATACGAACTGAGATTTTTTTGGTCAAATTCAGTGGTTAATACAGATAATGCGTAAAATCTTACGCATTTCGAAATTATTTTGCGGATTTTGTAAGTTTTTTGTGTTACTTGAAATTTTATTGATTGTCTCCGTTGCATAATCATATAGATCGATGTTGTCTTTTTTGTTTCACACGTTTTGAAATTTTTATGAAAATTTCACTGTCACAACTTTCAAATAAAATAAAAAGCAGGCTTAAAAAGTAATAATAAACATCAATCTTAATGAAAACAATTCTCGAGATCATTTATACGAGCATAAAACAAATTTCTCTTGATAAAATAAAATATCA